AAAAAAAAAAAAAAAGAAACAAATAAGAGAGGACATCATTGAAAATCTTTTAAATATTAAAAAATAAGGAGAAATTATTAACAATTTAATGTCAACAAATTTAACAAATTAAATGAAATGTATGAATACCTTGACAGACATAAACTAACAAGGCTTACTCAGGAAGAAACAATCTGAATAGGTCTATATATCCTAAGAAGGTTAAGTGGGTAATTAAAAACCTCTCACAAAGAAAACTCCAGGCCCAAAAGGTTTTATTGGTGTATTTTATTAAATATTTAAGGAAAAAATATTTCCAATCATACCATATGTTCAAAAAATAGAGAAAAAGAGAATACTTCCAAACTCATACTTTGAGAAGTATCAAAACTGGACAAAGTATCAAAACTAGACAAAGCCATCCCAAAGAAAGAAAAGTACATACAAATAACTTTCATAAGCCTAGGCACAATACTTCTTTATTTTATTATTATTATTATTATTTTTGAGATGGAGTTTCACTGTTATTACCCAGACTGGAGTGCAATGGCACGATCTCGGCTCACTACAACCTCCACCTCCTGGGTTCAAGCAATTCTCCTGCTTCAGCCTCCCCAGTAACTGGGACTACAGGCGTGCACCACCATGCCCAGCTAATTTTTGTATTTTTAGTAGAGATGGGGTTTCACCATGTTGATCAGGATTGTATTGATCTCTTGACCTCGTGATCCACCTGCCTTGGCCTCCCAAAGTGCTGGGATTATAGGCGTGAGCCACTGTGCCCGGCCTTATTTTATTATTATTATTATTCTTTTTTAAGAGACAAGGTTTTATTATGTTGCCCAGGCTGGTCTCAAACCCCTAGCCTCAAGCAATCCTCCCACCTCAGCTTCCCAAGTAGCTAGGATTATAGGTATGAGCCACCATACCTGGTTAGACACAATAATTCTTAACAAATATTAGCCAGTCAATTTTAGCAACATATATAAAAGATAATATAACTAAGCAGGGTTGTAAGATTAATTTCACATTTGAAAATCAATGAAATTTACCACTGGAATAGCTAAAATTAAAAAGATTGATAATTAAAAAGATTGAGAATATAAACTTATACAGATGTGGAGAAACTGGAATTCTCAAACATTGCTAGTGAGAATGCAAAATGGTGCAACCACTTGAGAAAACCGGTAACTTTTTTCTTTTTTTTCATATACTTACATAGCCTTCCAAAAAATGGCAATTTTTAAAGGTTTTTTTTGTTTTCTTTTCTCTTTTACTAAGACAGGGTCTCACCATGTTACCCAGGCCAGAGTGCTGTGGGGCAGTCATGGCTCACTGTAACTTCTACCTCTGAGGCTCAAGCAACCCTCCCACCTCAATCCCTCAAGAGTAGCTGGGGCTACACGTGTGCACCACCATGTCTGGCTAATTTTTGTTTTAGTAGAGATAAGGTCTCACTATGTTGCCCAGGCTTATCTTGAACTCCTGAGCTCAAGCAATCCTCTTGCCTTGGCCTCCCAAAGTGCTGGGATCACCCATGTGAGCCACCTCACCCAACCTCTTTTTTTATTGATACATAATAATTGTACATATTTATGCAATGATACTTTGTTACATGCATTTAAAATGTGGAATGCTTCAGGAATCTGTAAGTCATCTTTGTTCCAGGGCCATGCTAATCTCCGTGCTGTTTCAAATTTAATATATGTGCTACTGAAGTGAGCACAAAACTGCCAATTTTTGAAATAAGGTTAAACATACATACACATGCCAGCAGTTTCACTCCTAGATCTTAACCCAACAGAAACAAACATATCCTTGCAAAGATTTGTATGCAAATGTTTAAATATAATGATTTATTTTTTTAATAGGGACTGGAAACAACCCAACTACCTATTGATAGATGAATGATTAATTTTCATATATCCACACAATAAAAAAATACTCAGCAATAAAAAGGAACAAATTACTGATAAGTACAATATGGATGAATCTCAAAAACAGTATGCTAGGTAGATAAACCAGCTGCAAAAGAGTGCATACTGTATGATTCCATTGAAATGAAATTCTAGAAAGAGGAAAATAAACCTGTATTGACAGAAAGCAGATCGGTGGTTGCCTTGGCCTGGGAATTGGCAGAGCATGAGGGAGCTTTTTGGAATATCAGTAATGCTTTGTATCTTGGTTATAATAGTGATTACACGAGTGTATACATTTAAAACACACTGAACATATACTTGAAGGGGGATACTTTATTTTATGTAAATTATACCTTAGGCTGGCACAGTGGCTCATGCTTGTCATTCCAGCACTTTGGGAGGCCAAGGTAGAAGGATTGCTTGAGGCTAGGAGTTGGAGACCAACCTGGGCAACATAGTGAGACCCATCTCTACAAATTTTTTTTTTAAATTAGCCAGGCGTGGTGGTGCACACCTATAGTCCCACCTACTTGGGAGGTTGAGGAGGGAGGTTCCTTTGAGCCACAGCAAGCTATGATCATGCCACTGTGTCCCAGCCTAGGCTTTGTGTCAAAATACATATATGTATATATGCACACACACACATATACCTGTATATACATATATATCAGAAAATTTTAATGTTAACCATTTTTTCCATTGTTACTCCTCAAGGATCACTCTGCAGTTGTTAACAACTTTCTCCTTCCTGAAGTTATGTTGGATTACCTCCTCATCTCCAGCAGCTTTGGTTTCTTTTGTTAGCTTTTCTTTCTGGTCACATTCATTAGATATAATCATTTCCAATAATCCAATCTTACTATCTAAGAATTTACCTGCCCTTCTAGTTTTCATTTTACTGCTCATAACTCTCAAATTTAGCTCTTTGACCAACATCCCTATACAATACAATAGTTGGATTTTTTCACTTGTAAACTCAACTTCAGCTCCCAAATTGCTTCTACATCTTTATATTAGGCACCCAAACTTATGATCTCAGAGTTATCCCTGCTCCCTCTTCCTTCCTTTCTTTTGTTTTCCACCCATGCAGAAAAAGATGGCTCTTTCTTTCTTTATTGAACTTTCCCCCATCCCCCTCAGGTGAATTCCTAAGACCAGTTGGTTCTCTTCGAAAATGTTCGCTGTATCTTCCCTTTAGATTTTCACTACTCTCCATTACCGAATATCCAGACTGTTATAACAATAACAGGTCTCTTTGCCTTCATCCACAATTTTTCTCCTTGCACATAGCACTGCTAGCATAGTCTTCATAAAGTATCACTTTCATTCTCTACTTTTTTTGCTCAAAACTATTCAGTGGATCTCCTCTGTTCTTCTCTTGCCTAGAGGAGAAATATCCTAGCATTCAAGTATCAATACAATCGAGCCCAACCTATCTTTTCCTTAATTTTCCCTATGAAATCCTCAGGACCCATTAAAATAATTAGCTCACTACTTCTAATGCTCTCGCCAGTGGCATGCTTCCAGCCCTGAATGCTCCTCCCTCTTTGCTATCCATTTTCTACCTATTTTTCAAAGCTACTTTTTTGCCCTAGCTGGAAGTGACATCTTTTGATTTGGGGCCACCTAGCACTAATTTCCCGCCTAGCATTGCTTTTATTTTTATTTATCAAACATTCATTTGATAGGCAGCATGGCATGTTTGAGAGCATCAGCAGATTATTTAACAACTGTCTGATTCACGTTTTTAAAAGGAGCATAACAAAAATAATATCTCATAGTGTTGTAAAAAATAAATGATATGGATTAAAGTCTTTAGCGCAATACATGGCATATGGACATGTTTAAAAATAGCTATTGGCTGGGTGTGGTGGCTCATGTCTGTAATCCCAGCACTTTGGGAGGCCAAGGCGGGTGGATCGCCTGAGGTCAGGAGTTTGAGATCAGCCTGGCCAACATGGTGAAACCCTGTCTCTACTAAAAATACAAAAACTAGCTGGATGTGGTGCCAGGCCCCTGTAATTCCAGCTACTCAGGAGGCTGAGGCAGAGAATTCCTTAAACCCAGGAGACAGAGGTTGCAGTGAGCTGAGATCACACCACTGGGCTCCAGCCTGGGCGACAGAGTGAGACTCTGTCTCAAAAATAATAAAAATAAAATAAATACAGCTATTATATGATTAATTATATGATGATGATTATTATTGAACACTGAGATAAGATGAATAGAATTCCTGTCTCTTAAGGGCTTTAACATTATCTAAAAACGTTTTAGTTTTCTCATCTGGATTCTTCAGAATCTGAATTTAGCAAATAAAATAGGGATCTGCTTGATATTATCATGGCTTGGACTAGCAGCAAGATTGTATTGGGGGGAGTCACAGTGACAGCGACTGTTTTGTCAGTTTAGCTTGTGCTCTTTAAATTATTAAAAAATATAAACAAGCCTACCAAACAAGTCTATCCTTCATGAAATATTTAGGGAATATATTTCTTATGCTTTGCAAAATGTATCTCTTATAATAACTTTTAAATTCCCAATGTAATAAGTTTTATTTTTCATTAAAATTTAATCTATTTAGGACCAGTTGCTACATTATCTATTCTAGACAAATTTCTTGAAGAATCCTCCAAACTGCAGTCTGATTCACAAGAACCCATTTTGTCTACACAAGCTTGGGATCCAAGTATACACCAAAATTTATCTAACACATTTATCAAGGAGGTACCAACAAAGAAAGGTAACTAGAAATAAAGATTTCCACTTGGAAGAGGGGCATAAGCTAGATAAGGATGAAGACTCTTGCAATTATAAAATGGCAATCCTGACTTGTTTAAAGTTGATTAGTTGCCTAAATTATTTAATATTAACTAGACTCTGAAATCCAAACTCTTTCAATAAGCAAAGATTTTATATTTAGCTCACAGAAGTAGCCAACTACAGACCTATGATTTCCTAACAGGTCTTCATTTTTTAAAAAAAATCTACAAATTGTGTTTCACATTCAAGAAGATCTGAATACTTTTTAAAAGCTTTTCATTTGGTTGTACTTGCATTTGGAACCACAAGTAGATTCACCTTGAGAACCTTTGAGTTCTCCTTTTTCAGGACCATTGCTGAAGAGCAATCAATTGCTTTCCAGATTATGATCTCTCTCATGTATTAGATGAGAAAACTCTCCCTGTTATGTGAGTGTGTCTGAATTTCTGAAACTTTTTCTGTTACATTAAATCTTCTGCCCTTTTAATGTAATATTTTCAGAAGTATCAAAATGCGAAGATTCATCAGCTCTTCTGCATCCTGGCTTTCATTATGGTGCTTCTCAAACTACCACCATCTTCATGGAGACCATACGTTTCTTGATGAAAGTCAAGGCTGTGCAGGTCAGAATGTTTGGAAAAGGGCAAGTAGATGGAAAGATTTTAGCAAACTCCTTATTCTATCCTTAATGGTATCTTTCAAGCTTAGATATTTGTGAAGCAGAAATCAAATATGGTTTTGAGAGCATACCTTAAGCCCAATGGGAAGAACATCCAAACATGAACCACTCTTTGCTCAAGGCAGCAGAAGATCTCACTCCAGGTCCACTCCCTGTAGAGTACCAACAGAGCTAAATCAGACTCTAAGGTGTATGTTGCCTGATATTACTTTATTATGGGAATTCATTATATGAGTGTTGGGGGTTCACAGGAGCCAAATCATTCCCCTCTTCCCCTCTAGGTTCTGATCCAATTGGAAACATACACAGTACTATATGGGGGAATAAAAATATTAGCTTATTTTTATTGGTAAAACTGGGCTGGAGAACATAACTGGCCCCACATTTGACTTACCCATGAAATCACAGGTAGAGCAGCTAAAGAACTGAAGCCTCCTCTCAGAGAAGCATAGCATCCTAATAGGTCTGCCTACCACATGGGAAGCAAGAAGCATATCCATGAGCAAGGAGTAGGAGGGAGAGCAAGATTCAGAAGCCAAGAGTGTTTGGTTTTGATCCTATCAAGTGCATGCCCCACTTGAGGGCAGGCAAGGTCAAGAAAGGGCAAGAATTATAAACTGGGTTGGATTGGGCCACATTAAGAAGAAGCCTTTAATATATTAACCCTCCTCAAAATAAAAACAGGGTCTCTTCTCCCAGAGGTAAATAAGTCATTAGCCCCTCAAGGTCAGAGACTCAGAAGGCAGGTAGAAAAAATAGCTGCAGCTATTCCCTCTAGTGTTCTTCTAAAAATGTATAAGTATAATGTAGAATTTTCTACATTATAGGCAAAGATATGAACAGTGGGAGAAGAAAAGAAGGATTTACCTTTGATTTAGCAAGTATATCTAACTTTCTTAAATTTGTAGGTCTTATAAAGTATAAAAAGCAAAGATTTGGCCAGGCAAGGTGGCTCACACTTATAATCCCAGCACTTCTGGGGGGCCAAGGCAGGAGGATTGCTTGAGGCCAGGAGGCTGCGGTAAGCTATGACCACACCATTGCACTCCAGCCCTAGGTGACAGAGCAAGACCCTGTCTCTAAAAAAATAAAAAGTACAAAAATACAAAAATTGGCCCAAAGTACAAAACTGGTAAACATAACCAATGTTTTGAGGTACATCCAAAACAGACATTTATGTTTCTAAGATTTCAAGTCTAGATTGTTAGAAAGGCAGTTTTGCCTCACTGTAAATTTCCTTACAATGTCAGCTGCCTGAAAATGTTGCCTTCTATGTAAATGGGGTGGTTGATGATGTGCCTTTGTCTGCTCTATTTTCTAACACTCACCTAGTATGATGACCAGCAAGACCAGAATTGTACAATATTGCATGTTATTCACTTGGAAATATCTTCATTTGGTGACTAAGTGAATAGCTGGTAATGAAACTATGAAGTGCTGAATGTTTGTAATTCATCCTTTACTTTTTGAAGTTGAGGATATTTATTTCATTCTGTAATACATTTCTTATTTATTATCAGAGACGGAATCCTTCAACTGCAAAAGACACAATGCAGCCATTTATATGTTCCTTATAATCTGATTGTCTTTGCAGTTTGTGCACAGAGTGCTTGCACATGAGCTGTTATGCCCTCAAGGAGGTCCCAGCTGTGAGTATTACTTGGTGCTGGCCCAGACACACATTCTTAAGAAGGACTTTGCCAAGGCAGAGGAATACCTCCAACAAGCGGCCCAGATGGACTACCTGGTAATGACTTTTGCTGAAGCCTCTTGAGTCTGGAGAAGGGGCTTTATTAAAGGTGGTGATGCCACATTGCACATAGATTTCTGGTGAACAGAGGTGGTGGTCATCAGCTGTCAGTAAACTTATCTTTCTATACCCTTCCATTTGCTTTTCTTAAGTAATCATGAGTTTTGCAAAGGGCAGAGAAAGAGGTATCTTTAGCTGATAGTGTTTATTTCAATTTTTCTAGGTTTCCTCTGTTTTCTCATGTGAATAGTATGGGGGTTATGCTTGAATGTTTTTCTTAATATTTACTCCACACCCAAAACGGCTTTGAAGAATGCACGAAAGAAATCTGAGGGCAAACCTAGAAAAATCTCTCTGAGTACAATTAATTGGTTATGTTTCTAAGTGCTCTTAGAAAAAGAAGACCGTTGATCTGAAAAAAGAAAAAGAAAATAGACTTAATCTGTCTACATTTAAATGTTAAACAAAGGTCATCAAGGTACTTTTAAATACTACCTTATCCCATGTACTACTTGTTTTTTACTTTCCCAGAGCCCCAATGTCTGGGGCCTGAAGGGCCATCTCAATTTTCTGAGTGGAAATCATGCCGAGGCCAAGGCATGCTATGAACGAACCATTAGCTTTGTAGTGGATGCTTCTGAGATGCACTTCATCTTCCTGCGACTGGGACTCATCTATCTGGAAGAGAAAGAGGTGAGGGGTAGAGAGGGAATAATCCCATGGTCTGGGAACTGATTGTAATTGAAGCATTAACACCCATCTGTGTGGACTAAAAATTGTAATATAATAATGACACTTTTACATCCAAAGATAAAGTGACTTGCCCAACCTCAGACAACCAGTAATTAGTGGAAGCAGCATTCAAACGCAGGCAGGCTTGTAGCAGGAGCGGCCTCAGGAAACGGATCTCTTGGACATTGAATACAGGGAGAAGGAGTTTATTCGGCCAGGAGCAAGGTGGCATATTTGCCTAACAGCCAGGCTCCCCTAACAAAGGAAGTTTCCTTCTTTATATAGGCTTATACTTTAGAAGTTACACATGGAAGAATCTTAGGTTTATAGCTTAACATATGAAAAGGGTCTCAGTTTACAGTCTTAGGAATTACATATGAAAAGGGCTTCGGTTTACAGTCTTAGGAATGAAAAGGGGAAGTTTACAGTCTTGGGAATGAAAAGGGGAAGTTGATCTGAGATGCCTGGGTCTCCCTCTTCAGCCTGTGGTGTTAACCATTATGCTGCTAAATAGTTCTTAAGAACTCAGTAATGTTATGTTAGTTAAAATTGTATTAGCGGCCGGGCGTGGTGGCTCAAGCCTGTAATCCCAGCACTTTGGGAGGCCGAGGCGGGTGGATCACAAGGTCAAGAAATCAAGACCATCCTGGTCAACATGGTGAAACCCCGTCTCTACTAAAAATACAAAAAACAATAGCTGGGCATGGTGGCGTGTGCCTGTAATCCCAGCTACTCAGGA